GGGGGGGGGGGCATTTCATTTTTTCACATTGATTGAGAAAGTGCAATTACCCTTTAAAATTCCTTTTCTTGATAATAACGTTTACACCACAAGTCCATTTAAGTTTAATGACCATATAAGATTGCCATAAATTATGGGCAGTTAGGATTATTTCCTCTTGTGAAAGACTAATGCATTTTTATAAAATTTAGTCGATGGTGAATGACCGGTCCTCTTTTTATTTAAAGCTAAAGTATTCATAGGAGCGCATTCAAAAAAAGAAGGTGGGATTATAAAAATATCCTCTTCACCCCACTGCCACAGTAACTCCAGTTTAAAGCAGTGGGGGAATGATATTGCTCGATATCCCAGTTATGCTACCGATTCTGAACTCCCAGAATGCCCCGCCGACCAATGGCCTGTCCACACTCTAGTGTCCCGTTTTCCCTTTTTTAGCTTTCATTTAATACTGGTTAAATCACAAAGAAGAGAGAGTGCTACATGGATGCTGAGGGCTTCGGCACACGCAAAATAGGTTCAGTGTTCGTCTTAAGCTGCCGTTAGGTTTCGAGGAGATACATGCAACCGCACCATCTCGGAGGTGGTCACATGTGGCTATAAGCAATAACGTACTCCCTAACAAATAGAGGGAATATAAGAACTGGCTCAGTTCTCTCTAACGTCTCTTTAGGAGTGCAAATTGTGAGAAGGAAAGGAGTTGGTCCTGAAGAAGGCTTCATGTTTCCTGGCTTCTCCATCGCTTGGTATTTCACATAACTGGAAATGGTAGATCTTGACTTAATTCTAGGCTTTAAGTAGATTCTTCTGGTTGGTTTAAGCCCAGAAGATAATCCGGAGGTAATTTTTTTTTTTTTGCAGTAGCTGGAGTCACTCTGCACAACCTTGGATCACAATCTAGCATGACTTTGAAGGATGGCTCCATAAACTGCCCAGTCTTTCAAGACTCTTGTAGCAGGGGTGACATTTGGAGACCAGAAGAGTCCCACTGGTGTGAAGCGTTGGCCTTGGATTCCTGAAAGCTGTGAAGATCCCACAAGCTACTGAAGATTGAATTGATGGGCAACTGGCTATCCAGCCATCATATTTATTCCTTCCTTTCTGTTGAGATCAAACAATGTCCCGAATTGTCATAGTAACCTCAGTCTAGTGCTATCTCACATGGGTTTTCATGGGTCTCCTTTGCTGTTTCATATACCCTCTTGAAGTCCTTGTAGCGAGGGGCACAGCCTAGCCAGGCGTCACCAAAGTGTACCCATCCCATAAACAGAAAGCTGCCTGGTCCTGGCCGAACCCCGCAGCTGAGAGGTGTCTTAATATTTCCAAGTGATTTTACAGAGTGTCCTCGGGCCTGAAACAATGTGAACTTCTGGCGAAAGACCCTCGTGGCGCTGACTGCGATGACAGATTCTTGCATGTCCTCATCATTGAGCACCGTTCGGATGTTGCCACGCACAACTGCGGAGAGAAGAAAAGCAAGTGAGCACATCAATGTCAAGATTTAGATATGTTGATATGCTCAACATAAAATACTGTTTTCACCTATGTTCATTTTTTGAGCTCCTGCAGCCCCTTTCAGCCACTTCCTGTCTACATGCACTTATTCCAGCACTGGCTGTACATCGTTGCTCTGGAGCAGCTTCCAGGTAGTGACAATGGTGGCAAATGCTCCAACACAGCCACCTCCAGTGTCTATCAGGAGCTTGTGTGAGAGAGGGACAATGCGGGAGTGTGACTGGTGAAGAATGGGGAGACAGTTGTCACTCCATAACAGGAAGTGCCCGAGAACTTTCAAAGCAGGATAAGCATATAATACCTGCTGAAAAAGACCTGAACAGGGACCTTCAGAGCAGATTCAGTAGGTATTATTTTTAATATAAAAAAAAAATGAAATCTCTTTGGAAATTCTATTAACACCTTACAGCTTCTCTGAGATTTTAGCGAATGGATTTACATCTACTTTAAACAAAAATAAAGGAAAACACTAAGCCTAAAACAATTTCTCTTTTAGTATGAAACCCAGAAAACCTGAGACTTCTAGCATGACCATCCCTGGACATCTCGACCTAAGGCCTACGCAGAAGGCTTAAGCCTTTCCCTCAGGCTGCATTGCTAAGGAAACTGAGTCTCCGCAGATACCCCCCCTCCCCTTCTGTACAGACAATCTCTATTCACTCTTTATTAGAATTCAGCAGGGGGCAAAGGAGGCTTAAGTAAGAGTGCAGAAGAAAATAGGCGATAGGGGGTTGGGAATGGACTCAACGCTTGACTAAGTCATTATTGCATTCCACTGAGTCAAGCCAAGCCAAGCCCATGAGTTAAGACTACAAAATATGCTACTCATGCTGGAGGGTTTTGTCATAAATGCCTGACAACTCAAGTTAAATCGGTTTTTAAGTGGACTGGCGGCACAGTTTGAGATTGGAGATGAGATAACGTTGGTCTTCAAAGCCCTCCAGCCCTTCAAAGGACAATTCGCTTTGTAGCTAATGTGTAGGAATTCTTAAAAAATTCCCTCGGCCAGTATTTGCTGTAATAAAAATGTATGCAGGCTGTCACGGGAGAGAGGGGACAATAGTCTTTGTTCCTGTCAAGCGAGGCATCCAACATTTTTTACGCTCAGTGGGCAAAATAATTTCATTATGGCATCAGAACTTGGCTTAAACTGAAGCTGTACTTTGCCCATAGTAGGCAAAGTATCATAATACAGGAAGGGCCATAAGGACTTTATACTCTACTTCAATAGCACCCCAATCTGGCACCAGACTGGATGAAGAACATCCATTGGGGACCAAATGTGACTTTCTCCTTGCCTACCCACAATAGAATGCTTGATACTAGAGTGGCCAATCAGTCGCCCCAATGCTGCCATACGGTAGAGGAGAAAGCGTGCACAGCCCTGTGTAAGTTCGGAACACAGCAATTTCAAGCGGGGTGCCACCAGCATAAGGTCGTGAGAAGGTGAATGTACATTTCCTATGGTTCCTTCCATAAAGAGTACCTGTTGCTTATCCTAGTACGGGCAAAGTACAGGTTCACTTTAACACTATACAAGATGGGGATGTCTACTCACCAAAGTCACTAGTGCAGACAGCCATAAGGATTTCTGTGTCGTTACAAGGGCGGCAGGCACCTACCAAAACAAAAATTGAGAAAAACTGAGTTACAATGACAACGGTTAAAGTTGAAGTTTAATCTATTTATATTTTGAGTTCTTAGTTGGACCACCCTAGGTAATGCCCACATGTGATGCCGAGCCTCGGTAGTAGAATTTGAAGTTAGTTTTTAGGGCTAAACTTTCTTACACAACTACCCATTTAAAAACTAATTGCTGGCATTTTTCTTTGTGTTGGAAAAAACATGGAAGTCCTGACATGAAGTGAGGGGGGATAGTCCTGGCATGAAGTGAATGGGGGATAGTCCTGACATGAAGTGAGGGGGGATAGTCCTGGCATGAAGTGAGGGGGGATAGTCCTGGCATGAAGTGAGGGGGGATAGTCCTGGCATGAAGTGAAGGGGGATAGTCCTGGCATGAAGTGAAGGGGGATAGTCCTGACATGAAGTGAAGGGGGATAGTCCTGGCATGAAGTGAAGGGGGATAGTCCTGGCATGAAGTGAAGGGGGATAGTCCTGACATGAAGTGAAGGGGGATAGTCCTGGCATGAAGTGAAGGGGGATAGTCCTGGCATGAAGTGAAGGGGGATAGTCCTGACATGAAGTGAAGGGGGATAGTCCTGGCATGAAGTGAAGGGGGATAGTCCTGGCATGAAGTGAAGGGGGATAGTCCTGACATGAAGTGAAGGGGGATAGTCCTGGCATGAAGTGAAGGGGGATAGTCCTGGCATGAAGTGAAGGGGGATAGTCCTGACATGAAGTGAAGGGGGATAGTCCTGGCATGAAGTGAAGGGGGATACTCCTGGCATGAAGTGAAGGGGGATAGTCCTGACATGAAGTGAAGGGGGATAGTCCTGGCATGAAGTGAAGGGGGATACTCCTGGCATGAAGTGAAGGGGGATAGTCCTGACATGAAGTGAAGGGGGATAGTCCTGGCATGAAGTGAAGGGGGATACTCCTGGCATGAAGTGAAGGGGGATAGTCCTGACATGAAGTGAAGGGGGATAGTCCTGGCATGAAGTGAAGGGGGATACTCCTGGCATGAAGTGAAGGGGGATAGTCCTGACATGAAGTGAAGGGGGATAGTCCTGGCATGAAGTGAAGGGGGATACTCCTGGCATGAAGTGAAGGGGGATAGTCCTGACATGAAGTGAAGGGGGATAGTCCTGGCATGAAGTGAAGGGGGATACTCCTGGCATGAAGTGAAGGGGGATAGTCCTGACATGAAGTGAAGGGGGATAGTCCTGGCATGAAGTGAAGGGGGATACTCCTGGCATGAAGTGAAGGGGGATAGTCCTGACATGAAGTGAAGGGGGATAGTCCTGGCATGAAGTGAAGGGGGATACTCCTGGCATGAAGTGAAGGGGGATAGTCCTGACATGAAGTGAAGGGGGATAGTCCTGGCATGAAGTGAAGGGGGATACTCCTGGCATGAAGTGAAGGGGGATAGTCCTGACATGAAGTGAAGGGGGATAGTCCTGGCATGAAGTGAAGGGGGATACTCCTGGCATGAAGTGAAGGGGGATAGTCCTGACATGAAGTGAAGGGGGATAGTCCTGGCATGAAGTGAAGGGGGATACTCCTGGCATGAAGTGAAGGGGGATAGTCCTGACATGAAGTGAAGGGGGATAGTCCTGGCATGAAGTGAAGGGGGATACTCCTGGCATGAAGTGAAGGGGGATAGTCCTGACATGAAGTGAAGGGGGATAGTCCTGGCATGAAGTGAAGGGGGATACTCCTGGCATGAAGTGAAGGGGGATAGTCCTGACATGAAGTGAAGGGGGATAGTCCTGGCATGAAGTGAAGGGGGGATACTCCTGGCATGAAGTGAAGGGGGATAGTCCTGACATGAAGTGAAGGGGGATAGTCCTGGCATGAAGTGAAGGGGGATACTCCTGGCATGAAGTGAAGGGGGATAGTCCTTACATGAAGTGAAGGGGGATAGTCCTGGCATAAAGTGAGGAGGGATATCCCTGGTAGGAAGTGAAGGGGTTATAGTCCTAGTATTAAGTGAGGAGGGATAGTCCTGGCAGGAAGTGAGGGGGTAGTCCTGGGCTGGCATGGAGTCTATATATGTTACATGGTTCTACAGAAAAACACATTGTGGAGATACCAAAGCAATTACGGACTGATAGCTGGGGGTCCCAGAAAAGTTTACACGGATGTTGGTGGAGCACCCCCAATTTAGGTTTGCAATCACCCCTAGAGATTCCATATACACACCAGAGTGTGTTTGTGTGTTTAAACAAAGCTTTGCATGTTGGCTAATTTTGGGACTGACTAAGTATCTGTGGTGGAAATCAAAGGACCTGTCAGTTGTCATGGCAGCACGCCCCCTTCCTCCGCTTCTTATCTGGCTAATTAATGGGGTTAATGGTTATATCCTTAGGCCCAGCAGGACACTGCCCTGTTGTTTAGAGAGGGAAAGGGGTGGGGGTGGGGGGAGGGAAAAAACTTCAAAACACTTCTACCTCCCCCACCCACCGGGCTGTGATGACTTCTCTCTGGCCCTCAGAGGACTGCTGCTAATGCACAGGCCCATTCACTAAGCTGTGATAAATTTGCATTACTAATGTTAGTGAGAGTCGCACCCCGGGACGCCGGTATCAGTCAAGGATTACGCTGCTGTATGGCGGATGTATGCAAACATTGCCTTATCTTCGTCTCAGTTATGTCCCTTTTCAAATGTACCCTGCCTGGAAAGTTTCAGGATTCTACCCGGATAGTTGGGATATGTGGATCCATATCAGTGACTGAAGATGACCATACAATAGCAGTACGGCCATACTGGCTAAACAAGAAAAAGGTTTCGATCCCTCCCAACGGTCTATTGTACCCTGACAGTGGCAGGTTTGGCTGCAGTCTGATTGGCCATAGTCACTATTCATCTGAAAATCAACTTTTGTTAAACGGAGGGGCCCGACTGGGTCACATACTGGCCGAATATTGGCCAAGTCAACGGGACTCGGCCAAAATTCAACCACTATATGGCCAACATAGGCCCCAAAGAGTCTTCATATAAATCCTTTATTGGAAAATGTATCTCCTACATAAGCAACCCAATTCCTATTTCAGTTCTAGGTAAGTCCTCATTCTCATTTTCACCAGACGCCAGTGCAGAAAACCTGCTGAGGTTCTTGACTCTGCCCCTCTTGCACTGGCCACCACAGTTATGCATAGCTAGGAATATTTCCCCACTGGGAGCCCGACTGGATCAAATACTGGTCAAATATCGGTCAAGTCAACAGGACTCGTCCATAATTCGACCAGTATATGGCCAACATAGGCCCCAAAGAATCTTAATATAAATCCTTTATTGGAAAATGTATCTCCTACATAAGCAACCAAATTCATATTTCAGTTCTGGGTATGTCCTCATTCTCATTTCCACCAGATGCCAGTGCAGAAAACCTGCTGAGGTTCTTGACTCTGCCCCTCTCGCATTGGCCACCACAGTTAGGAATATTTCCCCACTGGGGTCTTGGATGAGGCATGTGGTTTGGTTTGCAAGCACTGTGTGCAGGACTGAAATATTGGGTCAGGATGACCTTTAAAGTGCATGATAACCCCTGTGCTCTCTGCCTGTGCTGAAGGTTTATTAGTTACTTTGTTCTCAGCTAATTCTGTAAAATACATAACAGCTTCCCCTTATGTTATGGAGAATAGGACAGGGTGGGGTGACTCTGTTGCCTGTCCCTGGGTGACAACACTGCTCCTTCATAGACACAGTACAGTGAGTGAGCGTTGTCACCCTAGTACAGGAAGTGTGTAACTGGCAGGATCATCAGGTGAAAATAAAGGGAAGGGGGTCTAAAAAAGGAAAAGTAATGCAGCCACCACATCTAAGGATGAGTAACCTGCACTATATTACATTTTTGTGCTTGGGTTTCGATACACCAGAGAGGAGGAAGTTAACATTCGACTCACCTTCTGTGCTCAGCTTGTTGAGAGGGAGAGCTAACTGTCCATCCCAGTCACTTCTAAACTCATATCGGAAAGAAGCGATGCGTCGGCTAATGTCCTGGTGAGGGGTGGCTTGTAGAAACAGCGCTACCTTCTGGTGGGGCTGCCAGCTGAAGCACTGGACCCTGGAACGCGGTGATGGCCCAGTCTCCGACAGCAGTAGCTCCAGCACCCCTTCCTTCTCCAAGTACAGCTGCGCCCCTCGGAACGTGGCCACCGGCTTGATGCAGGCTGTGAAGCGCCTGGGCCCAGACCCCGGGGAGGCCAAAGGCTGTCGGGGTACCAGGCTGAGGCGTAGAGCTCCAGTTGGATACATCCATTCTACTGTTCCCTCCGCGCAGTGCAACAAGACTTGCTCCACAGATCTGGGTTCCAGGGACAGACCACTGTAGAAGATACAAGAAGACAATAAAGAATAAGAATTTGAATTGAAATTCATCATCTCATCAAACCAAATCTCTTTCTGCTTCAGTTATGGTTTTGGAAAGAAGATTGACTTTAACAACAGCATCCAATAACACGGAGAGGGTGAACAGATTTACATAAATCAATGCAAATGGCAAAAATTTAGTTGCCAAACAAAGAGAGAGAGGGGTATTGGTTTTGGCAGAGGCAACCTAAGACTGGCAATGCAAAGGTACCCACGGAAAAGGGGCATTGATAAGTCGTGGCATCTGGGGCACTGGCCCGTTTCCCTGTCAAGTACCCCAGGTCACAGACCTGCAGTTATTACCTCCTACATACTTGTGTCTAGGGGAGCAGAGACAACAAAGGGGGAAGCTATCTGTGTGTTGTTTAGCCTCTGGTGCATCCTTTCTGAACCAAGGTTCTATGGAACCCTAGGGTTCCTCCAGAGATTTGTTGAAGTTCTTTGAGGAATAAGCAGTGAACTGACTTCCTTCCTGATGGTGCCTGCAAAGTTCTAGGGCCAACATCATTGGGCAGAGCCAGTGGACCGAGACCAGTAGTGCACCTCATCTTTTCTCTTACATAAGTAACTGACGCAAAATATCTTTTAGCTATCTGTAAGAGTGTCGTTCTTCCAAATGACCTCCTATGCAAGTGGATATACTTCCTTCCACTGACCACCAATGCAAGTGAGTATTCTTCCTGCCACAAACCACCAATGCTAAGAGGTATTCTTCCTGCCACTGATCAACAATGTAAGGGGGTCCAAAAAATTATCCACCTTGGGTGTCAAATACTCTAGGGGTGCTACATTCCTTATAATTTTAACTCACTGATGCCCCTAATTCAGGGGTAGGCATCCTGGAAACTCCGGTTGTGGTGGAACTAAGACTCTCATGAGGCATTACAAGCCTCTGACAGCCACAGGCATGACTCCCAGAGACAGAGGCATGACGGCATTTATAGTTTGACCATACCTGGAGTGCCAAGGCTGCCTGCTATTGTTATCTGTCAACGTATTGGTTTGTAGCAGGAGTTCTCTGAGTTCTGAAAATCATTCAAGGGTTCCTTTGGGGTGAAAAGGTTGAGAAAGACTCCTTTAGCGTATAAAAAGAATACACCCCCATAATATAGGTCAGACAGGAGGCAGATTGAGGATCTCTCTACGCAGGAGTGAATAATACTTATAGTACTAGGCATTGGTGTATTTAGGTCTTGTGCTGCCCTGGGCAAGACTAAACTCGGGCACCCCCTAATCTAAATTTGCCCCACCCCTTCCTGTTTAAGACATTTTGCGTAACCTGTCATTCGCTGGATTCAGCTTTATCCAGCTTCTGACAGGCTGCGCTATTAGCGTAGCAGGGAAGCCGAACTCTCAGGTGGGTTATGCGGTGTCCGTGGTGGGCTTTGCGGGGTCTCAGATGGGATGTGAAGGATCTCTGGTGGGCTCTACAGGGTCTCAGCCTGAGACCACGCAGAGCCCACCACAGACCCTGCACAGCCCACCATAGATCTCAACAGCCCACCTTTGGGCTGTGTAAGATCTATGGTGGGCTCTGCAGGGTCTCAGGTGGGCTGTGCAAGGTCCATTTCCCTGCACATGTGCTGCTCCTCTTATCTGCAGCTCCCCAGCCTGCCTCCGGGACATCCCATGGTCAGATCGTGGGGTATGGGCAACCACGAGCTGCACGCAGTATCTCCTCCAGTCAGCCGGCCATGCCGTATTTCACTGGGTCCCGGCCCCACTTCCTCCTCCATCGAGCAGCTCTCTTAGGCATATTAGGGGGCTGCAAGGTCCAACAAGCGCCTGCCTAATTTGCTTGATTAGGCAGCCGAGGCTGCCTGATTTGTGAGGCCCAGCTCGCCTCATTAATTTGTGCCGCCCCCCTGGAAAGTGCCACCCAAGGCAAACGCCTTGTTTGGCTTGTGACTGATACACTCCCTGGTAATATGGTAAGAGGATGGGACATCGGGAAGAAAGAAAAAAGATAGGGAAAGGAAAAGGTAGGGAGAGCCAACCCAATCTGGGCATTGTTGTATTGTTGTAGTCAGAAATATTGCGTAATTGAGATTTTTTTTGGAACAATTAATGGGATCGTAAAAGCAACAATGTGTACTTTGTGTCCAGCTAAATATGTGTTTGACCAGTTCTGTCATGAAACAAGACAATATGACCCATTAACTGATTTACAACTTTGTTTATGTGTTACAGCAATTCCCAGCATGTACGAGCGTCTATGTTGAAGCTAAGGGAGGGTATGGGAGTGTACAAAGATATTTGTGCCACGGAGAAAGTTATTTTCACAAAGAAGACTTCCCGGCCAGTGGTCCCACTCATCAGATGAGCCTCCCCAAACCAGAAATGGTTGATAACACAGAACATAACCCTGAGCTTAGCTTACCAGCACATGTAAATACAATGTCAAATGCTACGAGCTTTGGGTGGATGTGGAAACTCATGCAGATGGTATTTACGTTGTACATCAATCGGTCAGTCCACGCTGTGGACTAGGTACAGCCTGGTGGCCTCCTCTGCTTCAGTAGACCACTTAGGACTCCAATGGAGCATCATTTGTACCTCATTATGCTACCATGGGAACTTTTTTATCCTGTTGCATTTCTCACAGTATGACATAAACTGAGGATCTCATAAGAAGAGCAGGAAGCCAACATTGACCAACATTGCATTGGAGCAGTTCATTCATTTCCTATGGTTGACACACAGTCATGGGAAAGCCAACATTTTGAGTTTTCTGCAGAACAGGGGACATTTCCCAATAGGTGAACCTTGTCAGGAAATGGTTAGGTGCAAAATTGTCTGTAAAAAACTTGCGTTGTGCTCTTTTTCAGGGATTTTCCAGGGGCTCCCTTTGAAGTCTATTGGGGCCAGAATCGGCAAGAAGCTACTTCACTTTTTTGAGCATTGAATGACAACACATGGCTCAGAAATGAACACAAGCACAGTAAAATAACATGGACATGTGAGTGTTGGGAGTTGGTGCACATGTGTGGATGGGGGCTTAGATATATAATGAGCTTCAAAGCACCAAAACAAAACCAAGGGTACTTGACCCATTTGTGGCCAATGCACTTCAATACACCTGGTGCACATGGTCAGACATGGTGTTTACTGCCTTGACAAGTGTTGGGGGCCCCAGTAAGAATGAGTGAGATGCCCTCTAAATCCCATGTACAATCGATGTTACTACGTGTATAAAAAAAAAACACATATTAACACACGTTGTAATGCTCACACACAGTGGGGAAGCTAGACATTCTGTCACCTGGGGCAAAGGCTCAGAGTTGCTCCACCCCCCAAGGGAGAAATTCTCCATCCACACAGCCAGTTGCACCCCTACTAAATCGGCACCCAGGGCACATACCCCCCAGCCCCCCCACTAGGTTCGGCCATACTTAGACATACTGTAAGTGTGAAGTCAGCTTTAGTGGTCACAGCAGATCTGGAAACTCATGAGTCCTCACTATTGTGATCTCAAAGAAATAACAAAGCCATTGGGTAGTTCCCAGCCCCAATAACACAGAGGTATCAGATCTGGGTGGGCTAATACTTTCGGGGCCCATTCAGACTATTGTCTGTATAGGGCAACACACAATAACACAGGGAAGTAAGTGCAGCACGTTGTGGTGTCGTTCATTCCTTATGGTGCAATGCAGATACTTTTTCAGTGTATCTCGATGCACAGATGTGAATTAAAAAAAATAATACTGGTCCATAATCTTAAGACCTTTATCGCAACAAAAAGGGCCGATAAACTCCCATCGGTGCAGAGCGGGAAAATTATGTACAAAACTGTTGCAAAAAGTTGCAAATTGCTACAAATGATCTATTATGTTTCAAAGGCTGTAGTTTAATAAGGAGTCCTATTCCGCCTATGCCGCTGATGCACATCCCACTAATTTATCGGCCCATAGTGTATATAATACAGGTTTATCTTAGTCCCTTAGGGCCCATTCACACTATGGGCCCGATAACCTATTGGCTATACTACACTAATTTACTATATATATTATAGTATATCCGATAGGTTATGGGGCCCATAGTGTGAATGGGCCCTAAGGGACTAAGGGAAACCTGTATTATATACACTATGGGCCGATAAATTAGTGGCATGCGCATCAGTGCACAGGGTATATATGTACACCGTCACTTACGCCACTCCGGGTGGTTTAAACCTCTAAGGGGTTACTGGCAATCCGCCTGGCGTTCTGCTGGGAAAAGCAATTGACCCTCGACAGTAACCCCGGGCCCTGCGGAGTTGTCATCCCAGAAATTGGCCGCAGTCTTCAATGACAGACATGCACAGCAGCTGTCAGCGTCCTTAAAGGTGCAGCGCGACAGATGTTGGAGTTGAGTTAAGGGGAAAGATTTGAGCTGTGTGTGAAAACATTAACCGCTGCCATCAACATAATGCATTAAAAGGAACCTGCCATCTGAGAAATGCGGACTCTACCATTGCTGCCCCCCTTGGAATGGCTGTCATTCCGATCCTCTACTCTCAATACCGTGTCGCTGACCCCAAAAAAGTATGCAGATAAGGACCCCTGATTGATCTGCGTATATGTTCTGGGTCAGAGACCTCCAATTGAACCGAATGCAGCAGTTGTGAGTAGCAACCAGGCAAGTAGCATTTTCAACAGAAGCCCAACACTGGCTACACTGCGCTGGCATAATAGTAGAAGAATTTGGTGGGTTGTCACAGGCAAAACGTATCAGGGGCTTATTTACTGCATGCAGAGTACTGATGACTGGTCACTACTGGTTACTGCATTCGCCCTCGCCATACTTTGCGCTGCCTTTTCCAGACCTTGTCAGCTGATAACTTCCTCTGCTCGCTCCTATCAGTTACATTGTTCCCAGCTCTCTGTAGACTACAGAACACCCCCCCATGTTTTGAAAAGAGGAGAGTGGGGCATGTTCTATAGACCTGGCAAACTTCCTGTTTTGGGGTGACAACGC